TTTCTTTTAATTTGATATTAAATATCCGTTGTTGCGAGTCTTATTATCATTATTATTATTATCATTATTTTTCTCAAGTGAAAATTAGAAAGAAAGAATGAAAAAAAAATTCAATTTTACAGAAAAAAAACTTAACGAATTGAAAAACAAAAAAAAAAAAAAAAAAACAAAAACAGATACCGCCATTTTGTTTTCCCTCCCCTGTTTCCTTTTCCAATGAAAAACAAAAAATTTTTTTCCGATTACGAAGTTTCGAAAAATAAACGGAACCGTCGACATTTTTTTTTTTTTTTTTTATAAAATAAAAATAATAAATAAATCAGGTGAACGAAATGAGAAAAAAAAAGAAGGTGAAAAGTTTATCATGTTACGCTCGTGTTGTTGGCGTATGGAACCCATGACTTTCGAATTTCACGACTTCCGAATAAAATAAAATAAATTAATAATAATAATAATAATAATGATAATAATAGAGTAACCGTTAAAGTAATGGTTGAACGATAGCAAAATTATAATAATCGCAAAGTCATAATAAAAAAAAAAAATATTACTTTAACTTTTTTCCTATTGTTTTCTTCCCCCCCCCCATTTCTGACGTTTTCAAAAGCGAATCACACCAATCTCAAATTTAAATCCCATCGCCATTTTTTTTTTTTTTAAATAACAAAATAATAATAATAATAATAATAATAATAATAATCGAGTATAAAAGCATAGATTATGCATTCTCATTCATTCCAAATTTTTTTAGTTAATGAAAAATCAAATCCGTAAACTAATTAACCGATTCAGGTACGCATTTTAATTATATTTTCAATTTGCCAAATTTTTAACGTTTCGTAAATAAATGTGCGTGAGTGCGCGTGTGCGTGTGCGTGCGTGCTCGTGTACGTACGTATAAGTTTTAAATAAATTTCGTGCCTAATTTTTAAACATTTTACATTTTCTTTAAGTGTTTTTATGAATAAAAATTTTTTTTTAATTTCAATATGTCGGTTACGATTGTATTAATAATAATAATAATGATGATGATGATTTCTAACTTTAAAGAAAAAAAAACGAATCCGTTATTATTAAGATTGACCGAATTTCACACGAATATAATTATAAGAATGAAAAAAAATTTTTTTTTAAAATAAAATTTTGCCTTTTTTTTTCTTTTTTTTCGCTTCATCATTCATTCATTCATTCATTCATCATCATCATCATCATCATTCCCCCCGTTGTTGTTGTTGTTGTTGTGGTTGAAGTGATTTTGCTAGTGTCGAAAGCAATACAATTACAAAGCCATTACGACGCATATATAGACTTTATATAAAAAAAAAAAAAAAAAAAAAAACCTTTTAAAAAGATTTATAAATCATTTTATTATTGCTTGTCACACAGCGTGAATTTTTATATACAGTTATTCGTTTTTGTCATAACCACTCCCCCCCCCACATTACTTTCCTTTATTTTCTGATAAAAGACCTTTTTTATTAAAAATAAATAATAATAATAAATTTAGTCAAGTTTCACACAGTTTTTTTTTTTTTTTTTTTTTTTTTTTTCAAATTTTCTTTAAAAATTTTTTAAACTTAATAACTAAATTAATAATAAAAAAAAAAAAAAAAATGAAATGTCATTACCACAACTTATTCAGCCTCAAAATGTCAGTCAGTGAACTTAAAGAATTATTATTATTATTATTCATAACGCAACGAATTTTTTTTTTTTTATTTAAAATAATTCGAATTTGAGAGTGTGAGAGAGAAAAAAAATTAATTAATGTTATAATTACTTATTGAGTAATATGATATACGTGGTGTCGACCAGAAAAAAAAAAATTACCCGTTATTATTATTATTATTATTATTAATTAAATTATTACTTTTGGTGATTGTTTTTTTTTTTTTTTATAAAAGACACATAAAAAAAAATATTATTATTATGAGTTGATTAGTTTACCTTAAATTTTTGAAAAACCCTTTTTGTGTACGACAAGCAATTAAAATTTTTTAATAAACTAATAATAATAATAAATTTGATTGTAACTATATAGCTAGCTAAACCCCCCCCCCTCAATATTATTTCCACACACAAAACAAAACATAAAAATTGTTCGAAAAGTATATTAAAATTTTTAAAAATGTTTTTTTTTTTCTCTACATTGAATAAAATTAAAATATTTTTAAATGAAATTTTATTCGACAAAACAAAATTAAATTTAAATTATTTAAATTTAAATTTAATTTATTTTTTTAAATATTAAAACATTGTCAATTTAAAAAAAAAAAACTCGATAAGTACTTGAAAAAAATTTGCCTTTCAAAAAATTTTTTTTTTCCCTATATTATATTAATTAATATATATTTTAAAATAAAATTTATTAATGATGATAAGATAGCATCTGATATCTTGACGAGTAAAATTAATAAAATGAAAATTTTTATGTTTTTTTTTTTTTTTTTTTAATAATATTAGTAATAGATAATTAAAAGTAAGTAAAAAAATTGTTTTTCTTATTTTTTTTAAGAACACTAGAGATAGCCAAAAAAATTAATTAAATTTAATATTTGTTTTAAGATGAAGAGTACTTATCGCCCAAAAAAAAAAATTAAAAATGAATTCGAAACATGTTTAAATACAATCACCAATAAGTTTTTTATGAGATAATACTTTTTAAATTTTATCTTTTTAAATTTATATACCTTATTTTATACCTATTTATACTGTTTTAGTTGTACTTGATATAAAAAATTAAAACTAATCTATAATAAAGTATACTTAATACTTTATATTAACATCGAAACAAGAAAAGTTTTTTTAATAATATATAGTTTTGGTATTTGTTACACACAGTTGACAGTTGTTACATTTTAAACATAAAAAATAAAGAAAATCCACAAAATAGAAGCAGTGCATGCATAAAATATAATTTTAAATTAAATTACCTTAATGTGGCAGTGATTTTTCAAGGTAATAAAACATCGGCTAACATTTTATGCTTCTAAATACATTTTTTAAATATTTTGATATGACTGTCTGTCTTCAATCTTAAATAATTATCTGCAACTAAATAAATAATCTGTATTGTATTAAATAAAAAGTAAAAATTCTCTTATTTATATAATTAAATATAATGATCAAAATTTATTAATACATATAAAAAGAGTGTATAACAAGTGTTTAATTTCTTTGAATTTTGTTCTACATGTAAAAAGAGTATGTGATAAGGTGGTTTTAAAAGTAAGAAAAAAATTCTAACCTCTAATAAAAATTAAACTAATTTAAAATAAGTCAAAATGAAAATATGTATGAGGTATTTTAAATTGTAAATTAGATTTTGACAAGTAAAATATTTTTTTAAAAATTTATCAAATGGAAAATGTTCAAAGTAATTTTTCGACAAAAAAAGATATATGAGAGAGCAATGATTATTGTCGCGGCAAAATTTCCCCGCCTTTTCCTAAAATTTTTATTGATTATTTTAAAAGACGCAGGCTCGATTACCTTTTTTTGTAAAAAAATTTTTTATATAATGAGTTTTAAATAAAATACATTTTTTATAAATGACAATTTAATACAAAAATTAAAATTTTTAATTTATATAAATTTTGCAGTTAATAATCTCATATGATTCCCCTCCACCGCACACGGTTATTCACTGTGTAAAACTATTTTATACAAAAACTAACTTACTTATTTATTAATAAAGTAACGTTTAATATATATCACATTAGTAACTAAAAAATTAAATATCACAAAATATTAAAGCATTTATGTAATAATAAAAAATAAATAAATAATAAAATTATATTTTATAATTTACGGCCGGCTCGAGAATACTCTCATAGATCGTAGGCCCAATTTTTTCCAACATATTACTGACACCATACATAATTTTTTCCTTTTACAAGTGACGATAGTTTCCTTTGACAATTTTGTATGAACCAGATGAACGTATTTCTTTTTGCAATACTTATTACCTCTCCATAATATTTTTATTCATTTAGAAATAAATCTTATTTTTTATGTCGTTTTTTTCACTTTTTCTTTTTTTTTAATCATAATTTTTTCCACGGGAAGTTTTGTTTAGGTTGAAATGATAATAAACTTTATATAATCTTTTAAAATAACTTTATATTATTAAATTATAATAAGCTTATTGATAAACAACATTTATCTTAATTTATATGTAATTATATAAAAAATAATAAATATACATTGTTCAGATTTAAGATTTAAAAAAAAAAAAAAAAAAAAAAAAAACTCATTTTCGTTAAAATTAAATTAAAGGTTGAGCTTAAAAAAAAAAAAAAAAAAAACATTTTCTTAAAGTTAATAAAATTTCTGTTTCAAAAAAAAAAAAAAAAACTTTAAATTTATTTTATTACATTTTAGTATAAATTTAATAGAAAAATAAAAATTGTGAGTTAAGCTTAAAAATGTTTTTATTAAATATTAAGGTTTACATATTATTGTACGGTTTTTTTTTTTTTTTTAAATTTGGGCGAAAAATCTCAAATTATATTAAACGTGAAAAATTTCGCAGGTTGTCGCGTTTCTTTAACACTATATATTTTTAAAGTTTAAAAATAAAAAATAAACAAATAAAGTAAAAATACGTTAGGAATATAATTTTCAGTATTATATATTTTTTTTATTATTTAGATATCCAAAATATTTATTTAATTTTAAAAATTCAAACAAATATTAAAACATATTATATAATATTACAATATTATAATGCATTCGTACTAATTTAATAATAAAAAAAAAAACTGTATTTTATAAGTTTTATAAACAAATTATAAATTAACGGTTATATTTTTTTTATATTAAAAACAAAAAAAAATATTTTTTTTTAAATTTTAAATTTTAAATAACAGACAATTGAAAAGTAAAATATAAATATAGAAAAATAAGGTGATAATAAAGTAACGCAAATTTTAGCAGACGACAAAAAAATTTTTCAGGCTGCCATTTTGTTCTTGGTTTTTTTCACTGCAGCTGAAATAATGTTAAGTGCCGTTTCAAGAGCGGCTTCGGGTGTTTTGAGGGCCGTTAAGACCCCAAACATCCAAAATGAAGCTCTTAAAGTATTTTCTGCAATAACTGGAACCCGTAAGTAACATAATAATTATATATATTGCTTAAATATTATCGGTGCTCGGTGTGGTTAGGTCAACTCGAAATTATTACAGGCTCTCATACCTCCTATAACTTGAAAAAATTAATATTAAATAATTTATTTAGGTACTAAATAGACATTTAATCGTAATATTTGCATTTATTTGTAAAAATTTAACGTATTTTAAAATTTTTAAAATTTTTGTTATCCCTATTCAAGTTATTTTCCATACCAGAATTCTTTGCTGATAATGCTTCTTATAAATTTAGGAACGTACCTGAAAATTTTTTCCTTTTTCAATGATTTTTCGATGATTTTTTTTTTTTTTCTTATATTACTTGAATTATTTCTCATATATTGAAAAATTAAAATTATAAATTTTTTATTATGTATAATTTCTTTTCTTTTTTTAATATATCCTCAGATAATCACTAATTCAAATTTTTTTATATTCCTTTACACCTTTTCCTAAAGGCTTACTTTCCTTTGATTCTGTCTTCGGTCCAACTGATGATGATGATGAAAAATGTAAAGAAGACGATAAACCAAAATCACAGGGTTTGTTTTCCTTCCTTTTCCTCTTGCAACAAAATTTGAATTCAGATAGAATATTAAATAAATATATATATGCAAAATTAAAAATTTTTAACTTTAAATTTTGATTTCAATTTAAGATAAATCAAAATCTGAATATGCAACTGCTCCTGCTGCTAAGGCAGGAAAGGGAACCTCAGGTAAAATTGTAGCTGTAATTGGTGCTGTTGTGGATGTACAATTTGATGAAAATTTACCCGCCATTCTAAATGCTTTGGAAGTTTCCAATAGATCGCCCAGGCTAATTTTGGAGGTTGCTCAACATTTGGGTAAATTATTTTTTATCTCGATAAAATATAATGGCAATTGGAATTACATTTTAAAAATCATAATTTTTTTTAGGTGAAAACACTGTTAGAACTATTGCCATGGATGGTACTGAAGGTCTTGTTAGAGGTCAAGTAGTAACAGATACTGGATATCCAATTCGTATTCCTGTTGGAGCTGAAACTTTGGGAAGAATTATGAATGTGATTGGTTAGATATCCTCTTTATTACCAATTTTTTTTCATAACTTTTTTAATGTTTAACTTTCATTGTATTTATTTTTTTTATATGTATTAGGTGAACCTATTGATGAAAGAGGACCAATCAAAACTGATAAATTTGCTGCCATTCATGCTGAAGCTCCAGAATTTGTTGACATGAGTGTCGAGCAAGAAATTTTGGTAACTGGTATTAAAGTAGTAGATCTTTTGGCTCCATATGCCAAGGGTGGTAAAATTGGTAAGAAACAATACAATTAAAATTTGATTGTCTTGAGCAATGATGAGCAAAAATAAAAATAAATTTATGTCTTTTTGGCAGGATTATTCGGAGGTGCCGGAGTAGGAAAAACTGTATTAATTATGGAGCTTATTAACAATGTTGCTAAAGCTCACGGAGGTTATTCAGTATTTGCTGGTGTCGGTGAAAGAACAAGAGAAGGAAACGATCTCTACCACGAAATGATTGAATCTGGAGTCATTTCTTTGAAAGATAAAACTTCTAAGGTATAATTCACACATTTTGCTACCAAGCATTTGTTTTTTAATTTTTTTAAAATCACTTTTTACTACCCAAAACAGGTAGCGCTTGTATACGGACAAATGAATGAACCACCAGGCGCTAGAGCTCGAGTTGCTTTGACTGGATTGACTGTTGCTGAATATTTCAGAGATCAAGAAGGACAAGATGTATTGCTTTTTATCGACAACATTTTTAGATTTACCCAAGCTGGTTCAGAGGTTTGTTAAGAGTTAAAAAACAAGTTTTTTTTTCTTTGTAAGGTTCGACATTTAATTTTAAAACTATTTAATATTTATAGGTATCAGCTTTGTTGGGTCGTATTCCGTCTGCTGTCGGTTATCAACCAACTTTGGCCACTGACATGGGTACTATGCAAGAACGTATCACGACAACTAAAAAGGGATCTATTACATCAGTACAAGCCATTTACGTACCCGCTGACGACTTAACTGATCCTGCTCCTGCTACTACTTTCGCTCACTTGGACGCTACCACGGTATTGTCTAGAGCCATTGCTGAATTAGGAATTTACCCCGCTGTCGATCCATTGGATTCAACATCTCGTATTATGGATCCCAACATTATCGGAGCTGAACATTACAACATTGCTAGAGGTGTACAAAAGATATTACAGGTATATTTTCCAGGTTTCAAATGTGTTGTATGGGTTTGTTGTTGTGTGGTAACCGTTTTTAATATTTTTTTTCTTTATTTTTTCATTTTGTAGGATTACAAATCGCTTCAAGATATTATTGCTATTTTGGGTATGGATGAATTGTCAGAAGATGATAAATTGACTGTTGCTAGAGCGAGAAAAATTCAACGTTTCCTTTCTCAACCTTTCCAAGTTGCTGAAGTTTTCACCGGTCACGCTGGAAAATTAGTTCCACTTCAAGAAACCATCAAAGTAATTAATTGAAATTGATAATAATTTCGTATAATTTAATTATTTGTTATTTATTTAAAATTTTTTTTCCAATTTTTTTTCTTAGGGTTTTTCGCAGATTTTGAAAGGTGAATACGACCATCTTCCAGAGGTTGCGTTTTATATGGTAGGGCCAATCGAAGAAGTTGTAGCCAAGGCTGAAACTCTTGCTAAATCAGCATAAGCCCAGAAATGTATTTATGTATTATCAATTATTTGTAATTTTAATTGAAGAATTTTCTTAAATAATTTACCGGTCAAGGATGAGATGTAGTAAACGGCTGCTGTTTTAACTTACACAATATGAATTATCAAAGAATCAACGGTTGAAAATTCCGAGAACAAATTTTGTTTTTGTTTTTTTTTAATCAGTAATTTTTTTCATGTATCAAATGAAATATGTTTTTCCCGCATTTCGCCTTTTTTTTTTTTTTATTTAAGCCATCAATTTGAATGATATTAAATTTACAAATATTTTATAAAACTAAAGTAAATATTTCAATACTAGGGAGGTTTTTTTTTTTATATATATATATATATTAATTACAGTGATTTAGCAAATTAAATATTTTACAAAAAACTAAATGTAAACTTTTCTGTGGTCGTATTTAATTGAAGTAGTGGGGAGAAAAATGAACTATTGTTAAGTAAGAATATGATAAAAATAAAACATGATAAAATTCTTAATAATTAATTTTTTTAATTTACCCTTTTCATTAATTTAAACGATATTAGAAGATGTGTAATTAAATAATCGTTGAGGAATTTTTTATAATTGCAAGAGGGGAAATACAATGTTACCACACAACACATAGTCAAAGTTTATCCAAAATAAAGTTTTGATATTTTTTAAAATAAAAAATCTAGTCTTGAAAAAATTATTACACGGATTATTATTAATAATTAATAAAATATTATATTCTGATAACAACATATACGGTTCCATGATTATTTGAAAGATATAAAAGGAAAAATTTCCTTTGAATGATTTCAGTAATTAAGATGGATGCCTCTAGTTAGCAAGTACCAAGTTGAAATAAATGCAATGAAATAAAAAAATTTTTTTTTATTAAACTATGATTTTTTAAGTTTTACATTTGTTTATTGGTTCATAAGGGAAAAGATTTATTTGTCATTTATAAAAATAAAAAAGCCGAAAACATTTTATAATGTTTAAAAATAAAATTTTTCGTTTCAATTAGGTGTGGTTTAGCGTTAAAATAATTTAAAAAGTCAACTTAAAAAAGAAAAAAAAAAAAAAAAAAAATGAGTGGAGTGCAAACTCAAACGGGACTCAGCAAATTAAAGAAAAAACATTTCAGAGTCAAACATCAAAAAGTTAAATTATTTCGTGCCAATGAACCAATATTGTCTGTTTTTATGTGGGGTGTCAATCATACAGTAAGTAATATAATTTCACGCCCAATATTATCTATTAACCGTTGACTAGTGACTTTTTTCTTTTTTTTTGTAAACCCTTTTCATTTAATTCAGAATTATTTATTTTAAATTTATATCAGTGCCTGTGCTATTAATGTTATCAATTGATACATATAAATAAATTCAATGATATTAAAATAAAATAGATATTTTTATTCGCTTGGGAATTACAATCGAAAGAAAATTTTACAAATTGTTAGCATTACACTTTCAAATTCGAAATAAAATTGTTTGATCTTAAATTTGCTACCGTATAAAACATCATTTGCTTTGTTTTTAACTATTCAAACAAACAAAATTACCATTTTCAATAGTGATTAAAAATTAAACATGATGTAAAATTTGATTTTCTTCTTCGTGTTTTATGATAAAGTTAAGTTTTTTTTTAACTAAAATTATTTTTATAATTTCAGATAAACGAATTAAGTCATGTTACAATACCAGTCATGCTTTTACCTGATGACTTTAGAGCATTTTCAAAACTCAAAGTTGACAATCATTTATTTAATAAGTGAGTATATTACAATATATATATATATAATTAATTTAAAAAAAAAAAACCTCATCATTAATCATTTATCATTTATGTTTCGACTTGCACAATTCTGAATAATATTAATAATAATATTTATTTAATCGAATCGAATGTAGAAAAAAAAAAAAAAAAAAAAAAGGAAAATACTATATATTTTTTAATATTGAATTTTGAAAAAACCTTGAATGTTCATTAATTGCATTGTTAATTATAATAATTAGGGATAAATTAATTTTTTTTTTTTTTTTTTTTTTTTTTTCCAAGAAGGAAGCGAGAATAATTTATAAATAATTTAATAATACATAAAATATTTACACGAATTTGTAATTCTGAAAATAATAATAATAATTTTTTTTAAACAATGGTTTTACATGTAAATTTTTTTCTACAATCGATAACGATATTTTTTAAAAGATAGATAGATTTATTGTCAGTGTTGTATGATTAACCTTAAAATTGGAATAAGTTATTAAATTTTCATTTTGACATTCGATAACTTTGTATTATTTTCATTCGAAAAGGTTTTGACTTGTTTTTTTTTTTTTTCTATAACATTTGCGTGACAAGTATTATTACTTTCATTTCATCATGTATGGATAGATACATCCCTCTTTTTGCGTTTAAAATGAGGAAAATTGAAAATCTGCCCGTAAAATATCACGTCCCAATTACATAAAACAAAAAGAAAATTCCTGAAAAATTTTAACCGAGACCATCCAAATTCTCATTCTTAAAAATAATAATAATAATATTAATCTGTAATGATTTGAAAAATTGTCTTGTAAACAATTTTTAAACGTGAAAAATAATTTTTTATTAATAACAATTACAAAGTACAATCTTATCAATAAAGACTTTGTGTTAAACCTATTGTTTGATTCATACCTTATTTTAGGTCATTGTCTCATTATAAAGAAAAAAGTGTGAATAACATTGAAAATTATCATTTATATATATATATATATTCAAATAATTTGTTACTTATTTATAATAATGATAATTTTCTTTTATTTTTTCTGTTTTTTTAAATGAGACTCATTTTGAAAAATATAACGACGACGACGACGACGACAATTTGTCTGTCATGTTTTTATTATTATTATTATCATTTAATTCCTTATCACAATTTATATGTAAATAATCATTTTGCGACTGTTGTTGTTGTTGTTATTGTTATTATTATTATTATTATTGTACTTATTTTGCGTTATTTCTTTTTATTGAATCTTTATCATCATTATCATCATCATTCATTGTATATGGACCATATCATCCAATGAGAAATAATATTCTCTTATGTTTGTTTGTCATATTTTGAAAAACTGGTTCAAATATTTTTTTTTTTTTTTTTTTCATTTTCCATTAATTATTTAAATCGATTTTTTATTTATTTATTTATTTTTTGATTCCTTTAAATTATGAGTTGTTATGTAAGGTTTGAATCACGTTTAAAAAAAAAAAAAAAAAAAAAAAAAAACAAAACAAAGGTAAAATTTTATGACGGTTTTTTGAATTTGCGGTATTGTCGTTATTATTATTATCATCACAACAACCACTATTATGATTTTTGTTGTTGTTGTTGTTGTTGTTGTTTTCTCCATGTTTTGTATTAAAAGTATGATAATACGATTTGAAAACAACCATTTTTTCGTTTGTTATCTATATTCTGGCATCGCATAATAATAAATTACAATGGTTGAATGTTTAATAAAGAAGTTAAAGAACGCATCAATAAAATATTTTTTAAAATTCAAGGATATTTCTCTCTCTCTCTCTCTCACTCACTCACTTCTTAAACAACAGAAGAAAAATATAATAAATGTAAACGATTATTATTATTATTATTACGATTTGTTGCGGTTTTTAAGAATGGTTAAATAATTTCAAATTGGCAATGACAAACAAACAAACAAACAAATAAACAAACCATTTCAAAAATGGTTTCTTCCCATGTGTGTGTGTGTGTAAAAAAAAAGAGAGAGATGAGATTGCGTGTGTTGAATTCGATTCGATTTGATTACCATTATTATTATTATTATTATTGATTTGTTTTTGTTTGTTGAGACTTAAAAACAATCGTGAAAAAATTGTTTGTTGTAATTGTCTTTTGTGGAGAAAAATGAAGTTGCACACACACACACACACACACACACCTACACCTACACCTTCCCCTTTGTAGAATTTTTGCAAAAATGTTTTTTTTATTAATTTTTTTATTAATTTTTCTGTTTTTTCATTTTCAGGGAAAATATGCCTTCTCATTTCAAAGTGAAGGAATATTGTCCGTTAGTGTTCAGAAATTTAAGGGAAAGATTTTCAATCGACGATCAAGAATATAAAGAATCCATGACAAGGTAAGAAGGTTAAGGAGAAAATTTCGTATGAAGGTTTTTCTTTCTACCTCTCTCTCTCTCTCTCTCTCTCTCTCTCTCCCCCTTTCTCTCTATCTGTCTTTGTCTGTCGTGAACGAAAAATTTTCCGACATTTTATGTATTATTATTATTATTAATAATAATTTAACAAATTGATATGTAAATAATATATGGGAAAAGAAAATTTTATTAAGTTTTCACGAATTGGGGAATTATTAAATTGGGAAACCATTTAAAAACGCCTTGTAAAACAATGTTTATTATGTGCGTGTGGGTGCGTGCGTGTGCGTGAGTGATTGTTTATACATACATATATAAATACATGTGTATATTTATTTTTTCTAACCGTCAGATTCACTGAAAAAGAAAGCTACGTAACACTGAATCCCGATAGGGAGAAACTAAAGGAGTGCTCAGTGCAAAGATCTTCGACATTTTCAAGCCCGAAAAATTTATTATCCGTTCAAAAAATCAAGTTGAGGTAGTTTTTAAAAATAAAAAAAAAAAAGAAAAAAAAGTTGAAAATTCACATTAATAAAATAATAATAATAATAATAATAATAATAATAATGATTAACCCTTTTGAAGATCCGACGATAGGACTCTGATCTTTTCATAACAATTTTTGCCATTTGCAATGTACATAAGAAAGCGATTTTGGAAAAGTTTTTTAATTTTTTTAATGCAGATCATCGGGGGGCCGCTTTCCCCCCCCTCCCCCCAATTAATTAATTTTTTTTTTTTTTTTTTTTTTTTGCTTGGATTGCGCTTAAAAGTGGTGTAGTGGCTATTTAATTTTTTTTTTTTAAATTGATAAAAAATAACGCTTTGCACTATTACTTCTTTTATTTAAACCATCGGGTATAAAATGTTTTTACTTTAATTTTTTTTTTTTTTTTTGGGCCGACAACACAGACAAATTTAATAAAAAAAAAAAAAAAAAAAATTTTCGTTTCGTTAAGTTGTTTGAACGGTTTCAACAGTTGGTCAAACTGTCAACAGCCACCTGTTTTAAATAAATGCGTTAGATATTACGTAACATCTCGAGCACTAACACGACCCCCACCATCATCATCATTATTATGAAATATTAACAACGCGTTTTCTCTCTCTCTCTCTCTCTCGCGAGCTTTGATTTTCATATTTTTTTTTTTTTTTTTTTTTGGGGAGAATATTTAAATTCACGAGTAACGGTTTTTTTTTTTTTTATCATCATTATTTTCCATAATAAATTTTTAAATGGTTTTTTTTGTCAACTGATTTTCAATGATTTTTATTTATTTATTTTTTTTTTTTTTGTTTTGGCGCAAGCAGATTTTCTCTCTCTCTCTCTCTCTCTCTCTCTCTCTTTCTCCGGATCGTAAATTTTATTTTTATTGATTTCTGTCGTTTTTATTTTATTTTTTTTTTTTAGGTCTCAACCGAATTCAATGGATTCGCCGGGTAAAAGTGGAGCCAGATTTTATCAAAGTTACGATCGATTATTTATATTGAAAACGATGACAAGCGAAGAAGTCGAGAGAATGCATTCGTTTTTAAAACATTATCATCCCGTGAGTGTTTTCCCCTTCCCCCTTTCCTTCCCCCCCCCCATTATTAATATTAGTTTGATATATATATATGAATGTAATTTCTGTTGAAAACCGTTAAAAAAAAATTGCTGTTTTTGTTTTTCTTTGTAGTATATTGTCGAAAGGCATGGGAAAACATTATTGCCACAATATTTGGGAATGTACAGACTGACGGTGGACGGTGTCGAACATTATTTAGTTGCTATGAGAAACGTTTTTAGTAATCATCTTGCTATCCACAGGTTTGTTTGTTTGTTTTGTTATCATTATTATTGTCACGTCACGTGTTGGTATCAATAAGTGTTGGTTTTTTTTTTCCGTAAATTTTAGAAAATTTGATTTAAAAGGCTCAACTGTTGATCGTGAGGCATCGGAAAAAGAGAAAGAAAAAGACTTACCCACATTGAAAGACAACGATTTCGTTAAGGAAGGACTGAAAATACATATCGGGGATTCGGCAAAGGAAAAATTACTCGAAACTCTAACGGCTGACGTCGGGGTGAGTTTCCACGGGGGGAAAATTAACATTATTATTATTATTTACATTGTAAAATGAATTAAAAAAAAATTATTTATTTTTTACAATTAAAGTTTCTGAGCAAGTTACATCTCATGGATTATTCTCTTCTTTTGGGAATCCACGACGTACTTCGGGGAGAACTTGAAACAAAGGAAAGATTGGAAAGGGAAGAAGATGAAAATGATGATAATGATGAAGATGACGATTCCGGGAGCGGGTTGGAAAATCGCGGAGGAGGCGAAAAGTCGGTTTTAATCATTATTATTATTATTTTAAAAAAATTTCATGTCGATAATGCTTCTTATTTTTGTATTATTTTTTTTTTCAGGTACGGTTACAACAGGATAACTCCCCCCGATTCTCCGGGTCAAATGTTTTACGAAGGAATAATACCGGAGATTGATATATATGCCGTACCTAGTTCAGAGGGTAAGGGATAATTTTATTATTATTATTATTATTATTTTTTACACGAATCGTAAACGTTTACCTTTTTTACTTTGTTTTCAGATGCTCCAGTGAAAGAAATTTATTTTCTAGCTTTAATAGACGTTTTGACTCATTACGGTGTGAAAAAACAAGCTGCCAAAGCCGCGAAAACCGTCAAATACGGTTCGAACGTCGATGGAATATCGACATGCGATCCAGAACAATACGGGAAAAGATTTATCGATTTCATATCGAAAGCTATCGAATAAAAGGAAACAAAAAATAACAGTGAGGAGAAGAGAAAGAACAACAATAAGAAAAACAATAACAATAACGAGCTTTCTGTTAGAATCCCCCCTTTTTTTTTTTGTCAAACCGCGACAATTTGTCGTAAATAAGGAAAATATTTTATGCGCGAATGTGTGAAAAAACGAGAAGAGAGTGCGCATCATTACGATTTGTAATTATTGTTTCTAATTCAAAAAAAAAAACAAAAAAATTTTGTCATTTAATTAATATATATATATTTTCTTTTTGTAATGGAGAATGTTTAAAGTCGAAGATGGGTTCGAAAAGGATAAGTGGGGGGGAGGGGGAGGAGAAGGGGAGGGGGAACGGGGGAAAAGCTTTTGTTAAAAAGTTTTATATGCTTGCCGCAAAAGTTTTTAAATGTTTGCAAATTTATAATAGCCGGTGAATATATATATAAATATATTCTTATTTATAGTCAAAGGAAAAAAGGAAAATGAGAGAAAAAATTAAAAGCTTTAATTTTATACTTTGTTGTAATTTAATTTTTTTTTTTTTTTTTTAAACATAAAAAGAAAATTTTGTGTGTTGTTGTTGTTGTTGTTGTGGTATGTGAAACGAAAAACAAAATTTATTAATAATAATAATAATATATATATATATATATAGATGATGATGATGATGATGATAATAATAATAATCGTACGTAAAAATATGTATATGTTGTTTATGTGTGTCCGAATTCGTTACGCGTACTCACTTTTCTTGCACAAAAATGTTAATGACGACGATTTCGTCGTTTCGGACGTCTCATACCTTAAGGTATTAATTACCTTTCATTAATTGTTAAATGATAATAATAATAATAATATTAACGCGTCAGTATAATTAATGATAATTTATAAATTGTTTTTTTTTTTTCGTCGTATTGCCATAAGTATTAACTTGTCGTTTTTTCCCACCCTCTCCCCTTTCTCTCTCTATTTTTCACTCTCTCTTTTTCTCACTTTTAACTTTTTCTTAATTGCAAAATTATTTTAAGGAAAAAAAAAAAAAACGTACCAATTATTATTATTATTATTTTTTTTTTTTAAAGAAAAGCCAAAAAAGTTAATGTAAAAAAAAATTATTTAAAAAAAAAAAACTAATAATTATCTCGCTTGCTCATTATTATCATTATTATTATCCATTATTATTATTACTATTATTATTATTATTATGAAAACGTCTTTCGTATACATATATATATAATTAATAATAAATGAAAAATTAATTTTTTTTTTTTTTTTTTTAATTTTCGGCTTTTCTCGTTGTGCTTCCTCTTACTTAGTGAATTTTTTAGTAAATTTATAAATGTAATAATAATAATAATAATAATAATAATATTAATAATAATAATGATAATGATAATATTAAAATTTAAAAAATTAAAAAAAAAAAAAAAATATCGAAATGAATATTAAAAATTACGTACACGTTTCTTTTTTTCATTTATTATTATTATCATTATTATCATTTACGTGTTTATTTAATTTTTTTTTTGTTTGTTTTCTTTGTTTGTTTGTTTGTTTGTTTTAATTTAAAATTTTAACTTTTCCATAAAATTCTGCTCATTAGTTAATATATATATACATAAGTAAATAAATATAAATATATTTGTATTTAATAAATGTCGGGGTTTGTTATTGTCTTCTATCTCTCTCTCACTCTCTTAAGGAAAATTTATTTTTAAAAAAATTCAAGTTTTTATTTATTATTTATTTATTTATTATTATTATTATTATTACGTTGTTACATCCATTTTTAATATTGAATAAGCAAATTTTGATTGATTCCACCTTTGACTTTTATAAAATTTTAATATAAAAAATATTGATAAACAAAATATGGCGAGTGATAAAGCCGTTATCAAACTCAAACTCGAACTTGATGATTTTTCATTGATCGTCGTTTCTCCTCCCATTGATTTTTCATTCCCCTCTTCTTCACATTCTTTTTCCCAATCCTCGACTATAAACTCGGACAAAATTTTTTTGAATTTTTCATATCGACACCATTTTTCACAGCCGGGTATTGTCAATAAGTACGGAGGCACGAAACTTGAATTCCTGTAGTGCATTTGAAAGCATCAAGTTTGAAAAAAAACGAAAAAAAAAAAAAAAAAAAAAAAACCCTACATTAATAAAACTGCGACATTATCGGAATATACAAATATTTGTGTGTGCGTGCGTGCGTGTAAAAGAACAAGGATAGATTCGATCCTTGCACCCCCCCCTCCCTTCCCAAAAATGCACCCCTTTTCCCCTCCCTTTTCCCCCCCCCCCCATCATCAAATCATGCATTCTTGGCTCCAATTTTCAGGTATCAAAGACGATAATATTTCTTTGAATCTTTCGAACGGGCATAATTTTTCACAGCCTGGAATTTGTAACAAATAAGGCGAAACCGTCGATGAATTTCTGTAGTGCATCTGGAAAACATAAAAATTTCCGTTTAAAAATGATGATGAAATTCTTCTTCTCGTTTCCGGTCTCGTCTCTGTCTCGAACAATCGTTTTCGTCAATTAATTCCGGTTTTTTTTTTTATTTGTTTTTCTCGGTCTAATGGAACGCTAATTCTATCCTCTATCTATCTATCTCTCTCTTTCTTAATCGACCTGAAAATTTTTACGTTAACGGTTTTGCATTTCCCCTCCTTTTAAAAAAAAAATAAATAAATATATGTACAACAGATGATGCAGGAGTAGGAGCAGCAGTAAAAGAAGAGAGAAAGAAAAGTGCGAAAGAGAAAAAAGAGAAAAAAAGAAAAAGTGCGTCGTGCAATGACAAACGTGCATTTAAAAAAAAAAAAAACGTGCGTCCTTTAAAACTGAAATACAAATCGATCCATCGATCGATCAATCGAAAAGAAAACGAAAAGCCAGAAGGTAAACAAGAAGAAGAAAAAGTTAAAAAATTCGTTTTTTTTTTTTCAAGTTGGTATTCGTGTCCTCTGCGTCGTCTACGTGACTGAGACAACGTTCAAAAGAATCGAAAAAAAAAAAAAAAAAGCGTACGTACGGATACAAAAAAATCATCTTCTTTTTTCCTCAATTCGAACAATATCATACTTAAATATGGCGGACATTGAGGAGGTGAAAACATGTCGAGAGCTTGTAATATGTTTGCGATTGTCGTATCGTGTCCCGAATACATCCAAACTTTTTGACTTATTTCATTCGACATTTTTTTTTCCATGTTATCCAATATTTCTTGGAATAGAGGACCTGAAAAACGATAATGGATTATTATAAAAAATTATCCGACTTTTTCCGCCATCTTCCCCCGCCCCCCGCCAGCCAAAAACTCACCGATTTTCAATCTTGCTGACGTACGAGTAAAACAAGGTATTGCGAAACTGAGTGCCGAAAGGTCTTTCAAAGGTTGAGGGTATATGCCCTTTGACCAATGGGGCAAAGTGAAATTGTAAATTTCTTCAATGAGGAAAATATCGTATATTTCGCTCACTCCCCACACGTCGGCGATTTTATTACCGGATTTTTCCGTTAAAAACTCGTAGAGTTTCTTATGTTTTTCGTTGACTTTTTGAAAAAATGTCGAATTTAATATTTTCTTTTGTTCTCTATCGTATTTCGGACAAGGTTTGTGTCCTGCAAGAACCTGAAAAATACAAAAAAATTAAAAACAATTCCTCCCAACAATTTTAAGGAATCCATCTTTTTTTCCTTATACGTTTATTTTTCTCAACCGGCTCATTTGACCTTAATAATGAGAACAACAGCAGGGGATCCCCCCAAAAAAAAAAAGCGAAAACCGGTTAAACATTAGATAAAATTTTTCTTGCTGTTCTTATCGATAAGATGGGTTGATTTGATGATAGCGGTTGTTGACCTTGAAATCTCATACGTTATCAAATCAAAATTTCCAATTTATGTATATAAATATATATATATACGTTATCGTTGTGGACACAAATATAATTTTTTGCAAAGTCATTCGTTTATTTTGTACCCGAAATGATAATGATGATGATAATTACCTCATCCTCAACTTCTGGTATCGTGTGAACGGGAATCGGAGTCCATTTAATATCGGGATTCCAATTTTCTTGGGAATTTTCTGGTTCGTATAAACCTGCCAAATTACTATAGGCCGACATGAGCGTTCTATCATAGTCTGTCGAACGAACGTAAATGTCGTTTCTGTTGTATTTTTCCGGTAGAAAATCCTTGTAACGATTTCTCAACCATTTTCCAAGTTCGTAATGACCCCTTTTACCGATCTAATAAATATATATATATATATATATACATAAATTTATTTATTTATTGATTTTTTATGATTGTGTGTGCGTGTGCGACATGGTCCTGCATTAATTAATTATTAATTTAATTAAAAAAAATGTGGGAATGTGTGAACGTGTCTTAATATTTTTTTTTTTTTTCAATTTGCCATATTAAAATTTTTGTTTTAAACAAAAAAAAAATTGCGTCAACAATTTAAATTTTTTTTTTTTTAATACGTCGACTGAATATTTTAATTACCAAAGCATCATTTTATTATATTGTTTTCAAATCATTAATTTTTGAAAAGAAAATTTAATTTTGCACATCTGGGATTTTCCTTTTTTTTTTTTTTTTTTTTTTTTTTTTTTTAATTAATCAATACCCAATCGAACACACACACACACACAATTCAATAAACAATAAATAAAAATGCTAGTTTTAAAAAAAAAAAATTCATCTATTCAATATGATTTTATTCCTATAATTATTATTATTAATAATTATAAATTAAAAATAAATTTTTTAACATTAAATTTATTTTTAATGACTTTTTAAAACTAATTATAACAGATAGAAACTAATTAGAATAGATTTTATTTTAATTATAATTTTATGTATTTTAAATGTGTGTGTTGTTATAATTTTTTCTATTTCTGTTCATTGAATTATCGAAATTAGTTTTTTTTTTTTTTCATGCATGACACCTTAATATTATTTTTAATTTTGAAATAATGATAATAATTATATATAAGAAAAGAATAGTTTTAAAAATATAATGATAATATTATCAATTAGTTTAAAAATATCAATTTAAAAAAAAAAAAAAAAACTTTATACATTTTTATCAATAATTACATAATATTTTTTTGATCCATATGGTTGAGTAGTATTCATTAAATTTAATATAATATCACACAACATAATCAAATTATGTAATTTTTAAATGAGTTGATTATTTTTTTTTTGTATACGATTTAAAATTTCACTCCTGATAATAATTTTTTATTGCTCGATTGTGAATGTTATTTTTTTGTAATGAACACAAACACATGACTGGTTACCCATAAGATTTTTACATAATAAAAAAAATTTTTTTTAAATATGTTATATAAACTTACATCTGAGAGTTCTCCCCAAGGAGCAGGCCAATATGAATTATTCTTGTAGGGATCATTCACATATGTGTAAATAGGCATACGATCTCCATGTCGATAAAACTGTAACATGATTTTTTTTTTTAATAAATTTGACAATGTTTTTTATTAAAAAAAAAAAAATTACATATTATTTATATTTATATTTATAATAAATTGTTTACTTACAATTGTTGTAAATACTAACTCCCCTGAATTATTTGAATTACAAGGTTCAGAATGTATTAAATGTAAGCACATATACAGAAAAATAACTAGTTTGTACATTATAAATAACGTCCAAGCGTCAAAAAACAATACCGGTCACAAACTGATTAACTTTGACTCGAATCGGGGAAATAAATAATCACTTTTTATCAAATCAAAGTCCTCAACAATTTACATATTTTAAATAAAAAAAAACAATTTAACAAAACGGAAATCTATTAACTAAACCTACTATGTAATAAGGAAATAATAAAACGAAAAATTTAAATTGCCATCATAAACCTAAACATAAAGTTAAATTTTTCTGTTTGAAAAAAAAAAAAAAAGAATACATTAATAATAATAATAATTATAAATAAATTATTTAGAATGATTAAAAAGGTAGTCGACAAATAATCAATTGTAAAAAAAATTAATATATTTTCTCAATAAAAAAAAAAAAATACCTTTTACACACTATTTTTTACAATAATTTAGGTTCAATATAAAACCACAAAAAAAAAAAAAAAATTATGTGCGTTATATATTGTAAAATAATATTCTTGCATTTGTTATTTGTTTTAAATAATATTCTCAAATTTCATTTGACACGTAAATTAATTAAAGAAAAATGATTAAAACGTTAGCTTTAATAAAATAAAATAATTTCAATGTATAAAATATTAATTTCTAAAAAAATAATTAAAAAAAAAAAAATATATACACACAAATTACATAAATTACGTTACGAATTCTTAGCTACATATAAAATCAATTTAAAAAAGCGGTTAATATTGCCAATAAACTTTTTTTGTTGGCAATACTATAAAAAATAATTTAAAATGGAGGATATTGTTAAAGATGAAAATTTAACTAAAAATGCTGAAAGTAAAGACAAAGAGCAAAAAAGAAAAAGGTAAATAAATCAATTTATTTTATATTTTACACATTAATTTATTCTCATTTAATTTTTAACCTTACCGGCATGCTCATTGTTTAAATTTTAAATATTTAATAGTCATTTAGTTGTAACTTTTAAGTTGTGCTCAAGGTACAAACACTTTTTTTTTGACATTACCTTTACATGAAACAGCTTATCCCTCGTGTTTTTATATTTGAAAAAAATTATTTTTATAAAAGTACTCGATTATTTGTATTGTAATATATATAAATGCAAGTAGGGTACCTGAGGAAAAAAAGCATTGCATGTATATAATTTAAATTTGTATCACGTTGCTTATAAAATTATGGGTTTAAATGTATAAAAAGAAAATTATAAAAGTTTTGTTAGCTTGGCGCAGGAGGTGTGGTCTTTTTTTTAAAATTTTGTAATTGAATGAGTTCTTAATATAAGTTTTTATCAAAAATAATCTTGTAATAAGCATACAAACATTATCATACAATCATATCACTTTACATATATATATACTTTTCGCTGTAAAGGCTTTTAGAAAATTTTCAATTTTTTGAAATTTTGTTTTTAACTTGTAGTAAAAAAAACCGTAAAAAGGAAAAACAAAAAACT